TAATATCTTTTTGTGAATGGGAAAGCTTTTACCCAATGTTTCAGTCTTGCGTCATTTATTTCTGTAGTTGGTTTTATTTTGTCAAGGAACATGTTTTTCAATACTAACATTTCATTTGGTACTGTCCATTTGAGTTTCTTAAATATTCATCCCTTCTCGGTTCATTGTCTGCAAAGTAAGTTTTTATGACATTTTGTAAACTTTCGTTTGCAAGGTCATGTACAATAGGTTCTCTTCCTTCTCTATCCCTAACTTTCTTTCTAAACTCTTCACCAAATATACCATCTTTATGGTTCTGTGTAGTTCTTTGAGATAAATGTTCTAGAACGTCAGGTGTTATATTTCCATCAGCCATGTTCATTTCATACTGGTCCAAAATATCTGCATCTTTCATATCTTTCAATGGCATTAAAGCCGCGCTGAAAATACCAGCTATATCTGGTTCACCATTCACTTCCATTGCGTCTACAACTTCTTGGAATTGTGGTTGTAAGTTTATGAACCACCTATCCGGGTTAGCTTTATGACCCCATCTCATTGTAGTTCCATAGTCTGCAGAAACAAAAGTAGGTTTGTTTCCATATTGGTTAGGTTCTGAATGAACTTTAAACAATGTTTCATTTCTATATGTTTTGTTGAAATTTAACCTTTTATTTTCACCGAGTTCAGCCAAAGATTGAACGTTATATGGTCGTAAGTAAAAAGGTTATTGTATTTGCGTACATTTTCTTTCAGTACTTCCATTCTATGCTGAATATTTTCATCTGGTGTTGGAGTCTTTTGTATGTCGGCAAACATTTTTCGATATTCTTCTACCATGTCAGCCGAATTTTTCTTAGACTCTTGGAAAGATTCCATATTCACCTCATACTCTGTTGAGGGTCAAGATTTTTCGGCTGTTCCAAATCTTCATCTAGTTCTGTGAAGTTAGTTTCCAAAGGAGGGACTTGTTCGTTTCCTTCAGGCTCTTCTAGCTGTTGTTGCTGAACTATTTCTTCCATGTCTGGTTGTATCTGAACTTCTTCCTGTGGAGTTTCTTGTACCTCATCTGCTGGCATTTCATATATTCCGAGACCGTTTTTAACAAGTTCCCTATCTAAGTCATCCGGACTCATAAACCTTTCTTCTTTCGTTCCGTCTCTTTTTTACGCGTTTCATGAAGAGAGTTGAATATCATTTAGCTCTGACACCAAATATCTCGGAGTAAATTCAGTCATGTCATTTGGATGATATGCTATTAAATCATATCCCTTAGCGAGCTTGTATTTTCCAGGTTTGAAATTATATCCCATTTGGTGCTGAACCATAAAGCTAAATAGGTTCGGGTCAGTATTTCCTTCCTTGAACTTTCTAATAGCTTCTTTATATCTGTCACTAAAGTCAAGAGTATCTGTAACCATAATCTTCCTTTAAGCATTTTTAAGAATTCTTGGTTTCCTTGTTCTCTACTTCTTTTATGTCCTTGCTCTGTTTGTGGTTGTTGTTGTGCAGGGTTTTGAACTGTTGGTTGCTGTGCTGGTTGTGAAGGTGGTTGTTGCTGTGCTGGTTTTGAACTGTTGGTTGTTGTTGTTGTGCTGGATTTTGAACTGTTGGTTGTTGTGTTGATTTTGAACTGTTGGTTGTTGTGTTGGTTTTGGTGCATGCCTGTGTCTGTGTCCATGTGACGATGTAAATGTTTTAGGTAGTCCTGGTGCAGGTGCTTCTCTTGGAGGGTTTGGTGGTATATAAGTTCCACTAGCTAGTATATAAGTTCCACCAGCTGGTATATAAGTTCCACCAGCTGGCACATATGTTCCATCTGCAGCATAATGTCCTACCTGACTTTTCGTTTTTAAGAAAGCATTTACTAGGTCTGTTTTGGTCTGTTGTAACTCTTTTTCTTGACTTTCCACAACAGTTGCTCTAACGGCGTCATAGGCACTTTGAACTGCCTGTCTCGTTGCTGCATCTGTTATTTTCGTCATATTTTGTGCTACTTCTCTTAACTCGTTGTCGAAACCTTCAGACTTCAGTTTCTTTCCAGATGAGAAGTCGTTCACTAGTTTCACCTTACTATGAAGAGCTTCGAAGGCGTTCTTAAAGTCAGCATTCATTAAAGCTTCATTTGAACTGTCTTCATCCGCTTGTATTTTTGTCCTTATTGACCCTATAAGTTGGGCTGCTTTAGCGTTGGCTTGGGCATCTAACCAGTCATTTTTAGCTTTTATATATTCTGCGCTTTTCATTGCCTTTTGCATGGCTGCGTCGTTATTTTTACTTTCTTGTGCTAAGTTTTCATACTGTACGGTTTGGTTTTGCAACTGTAAAAGTTTTTCTGCCTTTACATTTGCTTCAACTTCTTTTTTATACTCATCGCTATCCATATATGTCTTCAGGGCTTTTTGTTTTATTTCTTCATCTTTCAGTACTTTATATTGAGTAGTATGGTTTTTCAAATTTATAACATCTTGTTCCATTTTTGCTACTTCTGCTGCTTTTTCTGACACTTTTTTCGCATATTCCTCTGTACTTAGTTCTTTCAGTTGTTCTTCTTTCTTCTTTTTCTCTACGTTTAACTCATTGAGTTTCTTTGTGTGTCTGTCATATTCTAGTTTCTTTTCGTTTTCACTTATTTGTTTCTGTATGTCTATGTTTGACTTTTTGACATCTGTTATTTGATTTTTGAGTGAACTCAAATTCATTTGACTTTGAGGGTTATAAGCTGTTCCGTCTGCAGCTCCACCATAGCCTGCCATTTTCGCTAAAAGTGCCGCTCTTAAACCTCCACTCTGTGCACCAATAACTCGGTTTAAAAGCATAGGATTGCTTGACATTTGTTGCAACATAGTGGGGTCATTCATCATTTGTTGTTGCAACTGTTGTTGTGGTGTCAGTTTTACTATTGGATGTTTCAATGCTCTCTTCCTCTTACGTATATTCTTACGTAGCTTACGTGGCATTTTAAGTGAAGTTAAAAAGCGGTTTTTGACAGATGTTTATATGACACTTTTTGTTCAGCACAAAAAACTACTCGGTCAAAGTGTTGTCAGTTTTGTAAAATAACCGTCCTATCTCATTCTATAAGGGGGAAAGTCTTCTCAAAGTATACTTCCTTGGAACGCCCGTAACTTTTCCTGTAGCGACGATAGACCCTTACTTGTCCGGACAAAGTTATACTAAACATCTTCAGGGCTAGAGGGCACGAAGTGCCTGGAGGCCCCACTACCTTTTTTTTTCTTTTTTTTTATATTCATAAAGATTTTCCAAAAATATGATACCGCAAAATTAAAAAAGTGACGTCTTGAGTGGAGTCAAAGGTCGAAATTGCTAGCTAAATGTTTTTTAGCGAAATTGCGTATTGTACGTTTTTTTCGCAAAACGAAACCCTTATTGATTATATATAAAAGTAATAACAAAGCTAATATTCATATCATTTTCCTTTTTCTTAATACTCTTGATTAATTCCTAAATAAAAAGGAGCCACTGTCAGCTGTATCTTTAAAACTTATTTTATTTTCAAGAATAATTGTGAATTAACTCCATCACGATGGCCAAAACAGTAATTATTCTGAAAATATGATATTGAATCAGATTATTTCGTAGTATAAGTTCTAATAACAACGTTCTTTTTATTTCCAAGAGTCTTATCTTGTTATATAGGAAGCATTGCACGATAGAGCTATATAAATGAAGTAATTTTGAATATTCTGTTTCTTACTTTAATTAACAGAAAGCATAACCATTGTTCAGTGATCGAATCAAGTAGTTTAAAACTCAAAGTCAGTTCGATATTCGATCATAAGTTGACTTTGAGTAGTGAATAAAAGTGTCAACAAAATTTTCGATATTATTTAGAAAAGCTGAAACATACAATAACTAATTTAAATTTTGACATTTATTCAAAATTGAATTAAATTTACATTTCATTTTTTAACATGAGGTCGGCATTAGTTTTATTAGGCATTTATTTAGAAAAATACGGAGGAATAAGTAGCAAATCACCACAAGTTGTTTTACCGGATATTGAACTTGATATTGCAGGAGAATTTTCAATTTCATTAGAAGGGGAAAACATTTCAGGAACGACAGTATTATTACTAAACCGAAAACAGTATAAGAGAGAGTATCTTCAAATGGAAACAAAAGATAATTACTGTTCAAAAAATTTAACAGACAAAAATCTTCAATTCAGGGTTACAAACTACAGTTTTGCCCATTGGATTACTGGCGTTCGTGATTCAAATATATACTACCCTATAATTTTTAATTGCAACAAGCAAAATATCTTTTATACTTTCAATTTTAGAAACGTTGGTACTAATCTTGACTCAAGAGAAAAATGGATGCCACGCATTCTACATTATGAAGAATATATATATACAATACTTAATTTTTCATGGCTTCAGAAATTTTTCAAAATTCCTTGGTCACGGGTCAAAAAATTTATGGTTTTTTATTTACTATTGGTCAATAAGATCTTCAATACAAGAAGTCGTAAAAATAATTGGGAAGACTTAACATATAAGTTAGATATTAATCCTTATGCGTTTATTAGAACAGATTTGGAGGATGTTGTTATACCAACAGCAGGTATACTAATAACTATTTTCTATTCTGTGCGTATATTCTGCTTAAAACCATTCAGTTCATATATTTTGGGATTTATTTCCTATTCCCTTTGCATTCTTCAAGGATTCTCTCTTTATATTGTTCAAGCAACGCATAACCAAAACGTCTGCGCATTTTTTGCTGCATTTTCAATAATTTTATTTTCAATTTTCAAATTTGTATTGAAATATGAGCTCACCCCACCAAAATATGTTAAGGTACTGTCAATAGATAAAAATTACATAGAAATTTTCGTTTATGGATTGCGATTACTTGATTGGTCAAATAAATTGATCTTTGTTTTTCAGTGTTTCCTTGTTATCTTGATACCATTTAAGTTTTCATATCAAGTTAAGCATGTTATCTTAGATATTCCATTGTTAATAATTTATATCTCAAATACTTATAAATTAATGTCATATGAGTTTGACAAAATTACTAATATTAACAATAGAAAAGAAACAAAAGAGTTTAAAGAGATATTGGCAAAGATTCAAAAATGCAGAAAAATAATGAAGCGTCGTAGGTCTTCATCTAACGCTATTCCAGAATGTCAAGCTATTGTAACAGAACTTCTTGCTAACACACAATATCCAGCAAGTTTTGTTGCTTATATTCATAAAGAATTGGATACAATAATCGAAAATATACCAGTTCCAACATTGACACAACAATCAGAACAATTGTCTCAATAAGTGTCGGAAATATTGTTGTTTTTCCTTAATTTTTGTTATTTGTAAATTATTTATTTTATCCATTCACACAAGAATTTTGATGTTTAAATGAGCGATTTCCAGTGTTTCAAGCCAAAATGCATGTTAGAAATTTGTTGGACTATTATTGTTCAAAATGATTCTCAACAAAGCATTAAATTCGTGATAAATTTAAATTCTTGGTCAACGTGCGTGATTATTCACCCATCCATAAGATCAATGGTTGTCTGTGTATTTTCCCTAAAAAATTGAAATCAGATGATATTTCTATATTAAAGTTTTCTTTTCACTTCCGGAAAAAAAAAAGACTAAATTTACACTTTTCCGATGTTTTGTCAGGGGCGCGAAGCGACCCAAAAATGTATGAATATAACATAAATTCTCATGTATATGATTATTTTTGCATTTAATTCCGAACAGCATTTGAATCAAAAATAATCGTATGTCTGAGAATTTATGTTATATAGGAAGAGAATCAGAAATAGAGCATATAATATTAGTATGAGACAAAAAATGGAAACCTCATTAGCAACGCATAAAATTTTTAGCTAATCTGGCAGCAAATGACATATAAAACTCTCAAAAGTGTGACCATATTAATATATTGTGCAAAATTAATATGGCATTATCCGAACTATTAAAATAGAAAATTAAAAATATTCGGTGTATGTTATTTAAAAAAGAAGTTTACATTGAGTATACATCACCAAAAGTATAAATCATTTGACAAAAATATCTAATGATTCAATTTCAAATATCAAAATTCTTAAGGGTGACGGAAAGTGAAGTGAATGAACAAAAATAAAATGCTATTATCTCGTCATATGTTTAATATCTTTCGGTAAAAATTATATAGCTACAAATCTCATTTGTAGAAGTATATGTATGCCATAATTTCATTATCATATATGCAAGCTTTTGGTTTTCCCTCCTATGATAAATATTTGAATTTTGCGTTTGAAAGGGGTAAAAAAATTTAAATATCTCATGACTGGAGCTTTAAGCACAAAATATGCTCAATAGAAAACATAGAAAACAACATGAAGAAAGACTCCTTATCTCATATTGAAAGAGTAGATACAAATCTAATTAAACTCTGAATAGGTGCAAACTGTAAAGAAAAGTATCGGATGTAATTGGCATCTATGTGTTGTTTATTCTCATGCATTGATTTTGTGCAAATTTTATAAGTAGTTCCAGATCTCATCACTTATTGCATCTTAGAGGAATTTAATAGATACGTGTTTTGTTCAATAGAAAAGATAGACCTATGTACCTATATTGTATATCTTAAGTATTTTTGATATTAATTCAAAAACCAGAGACTAGATACAGTTGAAAATTCAATTTTTTCATTCATTATTTCTCTATCAGATAGAGATCTCAGACTACGCAAACTTCGTAGTAAATACTTATTTATATTCAATATTTAGTTATGCTACAATAACAAAATAATTTCAAATATTTATTTAGTTATTTTTACTTTTTGTTATTCGGTCACATCACTTTCCGCCACCCTTAAAAACATCAATAATGCCACCATGTGAAAGAATAAGTTCGATTATTTCTTTATGCCTATGAAAAAGTGTTGCAATATGAAGAGCTGTGGATCCATTTTTATCTTTTTCATTGATATTTATACCATGTGAAATAAGAAGTTCGGCTATGTCTTTAAGATTATAAAATACTGCAGTATGAAGAGCGGTTCTTCCATCTTTATCTTTTTCATTGATATTTATACCATGTGAAATAAGAAGTTCGGCTGTTTCTTTATTATTACTTTCTGCTGCGATATGAAGAGCGGTTCTTCCAGCATCATCTTTTTCATTGATATTTATACCATGTGAAATAAAAAGTTCGGCTGTTTCTTTACAATTATATTTTGCAGCAATATGAAGAATAGTTTTTCCATCAAAAAATTTTACATTGATATTTGCGCCATTTGATAGGAAATAAGCACAAAGAGATGGAATATTAAACTTCACTGAAAAATGAAAGCTTATATTAATATAAGCTAAAAATGATTCAAGATTACAATACTGTCCGCAAAATGATAAATAATATATATCGATCTCTAAATTGTATTCATACATCAAGTATGTAACAAAATCAATGTTGTGTGAAATAATTGCATATTCCATGCATTCTTCATCTGGTTTTTGATATTTCAAACATTCACTCATGATCTCTTGATTTCTTCCTAGGAATGATAATTTGAGACACATTTGAGTTATTTCTGATCTAAATTTTGATCTTAATAACTTGAAACAATCAATTGCTCCATGATAACAACATAATTCAAGTAATGAATATCCTTTAGAATAATATGGATACAATTTGCTTTTAAGTTTTTGATCTTTATCAAATCCATCACTTTCCGTGAATTGGATGAATCTTTCTTTGTCATTATTCATAATTGCTCTGTAAATTGTATTTTCTGAATGAATATCCAGATTTTCAGAGTTAAATTCTTCATCATCATGGGATTTGCCTAATTCAATTCCATATTCTTTATAAAACAGGAAGTTTGAAATATGGTCAACTCTCTTGACCTCTATAACATGGTAATCATCAGATATGAGTTTGGCAAGATATAAATATGACTTTGTATAATGATTATTATACGGAATAATATATAAAATATCTTCAATAATTTTTATGGCGGATATTTCTTTGAATCAATCAATTCTGTTTTGATCAATTTGTAAATTGAGTTTAAATCTTCTTCTTTTTCCGTTTTCAGCTGATACAGCGCAATAAATGAATCAATGTAGTATTTATAGATACTTCGCAATGTGCTGAATTTATTTGGATGAATGTCATGTTTGGACATGAATAATTTTTTAAAGGGTGACATTTACATTTTAACATATTAATATCTTTTAAACTAATTAGAAGAAGCAATTATTATATATTAGACATGTAGAAATCAATGATCATAAAAACTCCGAGAAATTTGTTGTCAACTTATAGGAAAACAGTAATATTAAACGGACAGATTGTTGTTGTATGATGCAAATTCATTAATGGTGCATGTCTAAAAATTTTGAAATCAACATTGGAGGTGAAGGTGGGGGTATAAAGAGTATTTGCATCTACAACTCAGGAACTGTTATACTTCTGAATTCTTCAAACAAACATAAATGTGATTTCGGCATCAACACTATAAGCACTTTAGTATTATATTGGATTAAAAATAGATTTTATTGTTATTTACGATCTGTATCCGTTTGGATTATGAGACTGCCAATTCCAAGAGTCGCGAACCATGTCGTCAATTGTCTTTGTCGCTTGCCAACCAAGAACTTCTTTAGCATAAGATGGATCAGCAACAACAGTTGGAAGGTCTCCTGGTCTGCGATCCACAATCTTATATGGAATTTCAATTCCATTTACTCTTTCGAAGGCTTTAACAAGCTCAAGAACGGAGCAACCATTGCCTGTGCCAAGATTGACAACAAGTGGCTTGCTTCCTGGATGAGCATTGATATAATCAAGAGCCTTGACATGACCGATATCAAGATCGACAACATGAAGATAATCTCTGACACCTGTACCATCGCAAGTTGGGTAGTCGTTGCCAAATACATTCAAGTGTGGGCGCTTTCTGACGGCAACTTGAGAAATGTAATACATAAGATTATTTGGTATGCCACTTGGATCTTCGCCGATTGTGCCAGATTCGTGAGCTCCTACTGGGTTAAAGTATCTGAGGAGTACAATCTGCATTTTGTTATCGGCAATGTAGCAATCCTGAAGTATTCTTTCAATAAAGTACTTGGAAGTGCCATAAGGGTTTGTTGTGCCACCAACTGGGAAGTCTTCCTTGATAAGTGGAGCATTAGGATTACCATAAACAGTGGCAGAGCTTGAGAAGATGATCTTCTTGCAGTTGTATTGGCGCATAACATCAAGAAGTACCAATGTACCATTTACATTGTTGTCATAGTATTCAATAGGCTTAACAACTGACTCACCGACTGCCTTGAACCAGCAAAGTGAATTACTGAGTCGGGTTTGTATTTTTCAAAACATTCCTTTAATGCTGCATGATCTCTGATATCACCCTTAACAAATTTGACTTCTTTGTTGATGATCTTAGAAACTCTCTTTAAAGATTCGTCGCAAGAATTGCTAAGATTATCAAATACTACAAAGTCATATCCGACCTTGAATAGTTCTATTAAAGTGTGGCTTCCAATATAACCAGCACCACCTGTAATGAGAATTGTCATTAAAAGTAAATGAAAATGTTCTCAATTTTGTTCTCAAAACACAGGGCATACATTGCCTAATGAAAAATTTAAGTATTTTGCATTTATCCATAATTATGCCAAGCAATATTTTCTGAAGTTTACATGTATCTGCTATCATTATCAATTTCCAACAATCGGATTTATCTAAATTTGTCCAATTTATGGGTATCACGATTGCACAAGTTGTCCGAATGTCATTTCTATCGAATTGATTATCCGATTTAGACATTTGATTCTGATTTAGTGATTGTGGTGTATTGGTGTGAAGCGCCGATGTGATTAAAAATGACGATAGAAAAAAAATATAAAATTTATTATGGATGCAAATTATCTATATTTGGAAGGACTTCCAGAAGGAATTTCAATGGCAGAATTATCAAAAGCAATTAATTCTGTAATAAAATGTGATATTATGCATATGATGCAATATCATACTTCTTATGGTGTATTTGATTTTCGTTCTGCTTTAGCAAAACTCAAATCACCTCTTCCTATATCGCAAACATTTCAATTTAAAAAGTCTCCTTTCTCAATTAAAAACCAAGAAGTTACACTTAACTTTATATCTAAAGCAGACTCATTCAATTTACATTTTCTATTTTTCAACGTACGCAAAAATGATGTTCAAAATGCTTTAGCCGCTGATTTTGATCAAGATATTCTTCGTTCATTTGTTGATATTCCTGGACATTACATCAATGTCACTTCTATGCAAGTAACCGATAGAGAATACACTCTAAAGAAGTTACACAATTTCAGAAGATATGAATGGAAGCCAGTTATCTCTGATCCGGTCCCATTTGAGATTCCATCTTCCGACTTAATGAATATTGTTAACTTTACGAAACTTCATGATATGCAATTACTCTATTACAAGAAGAAATTTGGAATTTGCAAGTACATTGCTTCAAATTATTCAAATTATATCGCCAAATCCAAAGACAGAATCATTATTTTACCAAAACTTGAAGGTCCTATAGATGACATTATTGATTACCTCTGGGGAAAATCAATCAGATTATCCATCGAAAAATTACCATTCTTAGCTTTAATTGCAGAGTTTCTAGAATCAGATAGTCTCAAGAAAATGATTGAAACCTATATTTCAGAAAAAGTTCCAAAGGAATCTCTTCCTGCTTTGGAAGTTTCATTCAAATTCTGGAAAGCACCTTTCCCATCAATATAATTCACCTTGTATACTAAATTTTATATTTACATGTTTCAAAATCTCTATTTATTTAAAAAAAAATATTTTTTGTATTTTGTAGAATCGAAATAAACAAAAGCTTTTATTCATGAAAGTGGAGTAACAATTGAAACATGGAATGAAACAAATTACATTATATTTTGTATATATTGAACAATAAATGCAATTCTATAAAGTTAACTAAACAATAAAAATAACAACAGTGCAATTAGATAATTTTTTGATCCGAGATATATTGAACCCAAAAATAAATTTGAGTTCAATAAATTCCATGCATTGAGAATTTGACTGTTGGTGCAATTTGTTCTTGTAATGTTTCCATGTAATCGTTATCTTTTTTGATGATTGAAACTGCAGTTAATTTTTGAAGAAAATTATTTTTGTCATTTGGACCATCAAAAACAAGAATGAAATCAGTTAATGGGGTAATCAAATACAAAGAATTTACTGTTGATCCACTTGATGCGTAAGTTTTCTTTAAATCGTAATCAAACTTTGCAAATTTTGCTGTATCTGATTCATAAAGAAGTAAAATAGTCTCATCGCCTTTTTTGACTATTTCGGAGTAATATTCATTTGTTTTTCCTTTTTCTATCTTAATAACATGCATTTTTTGTTGACTCATAATATTAATATATTTGACATTTTACATTTATTGAAAACGCTTATAATTTTTGACATGTCAAATTTTTCAAAGATTTTCAATTTCTAATACCAATTAATTCCGACAATGCAGCTTAGTTATCCCGACCCAAATAGTAATTTGGAATCAGAGCCAGATTATCATTTTGGCGCCCTTAAATACAAAGTTCCTTTTACAATTTCAAATGAACAAACAGATGAAAGCGAGCTACCACTAAGTCCTATACTCATAAATGCAGTAGTTGCTATATGCTTACAAGATATTGAAACGAATTTGCTTTTCAGAGGCTATGAATTATCATCCAGATATTTTGGGTGGTATGATATGAAAATTTTTCAAAATATCGGTCAAAGCTCAAAATCTAGGAAAGCAGGTTTCCTAATTAAGCAGTATTTATTCAATTTTGTTATAAATGATTCATTAATTTTACCAGATCCGACTCCTAGTCAATTACTTTCATGTATAAATTCGTTAAATACATACGACAATCCAAGACGAACATTATTTTTATTAATGGGCCATGGATTACAACAAAATCCTGATCAAACAACTTTAAACTTATCGCCAACAATAGAAGACGAAAACGATTCCTTAAAGTATACAGATTTGATATCCGCATTCAAAGATCCAAGTTGCTTTATTATTGATGCTGATTACGCAGGAAATATGTATCCGATTTTTGCAGACGAAACAATAGGAAACAAAGACAGAATAGGGTTCTTTGCATGCTCAGAAGACGAAATACTACCAAGAAAAGTACGTTTACCAGCAGATTTATTTACATCTTGTATGTTAACTCCAGCATACGTCGCAATACTTCTAGAATCACGTCAATTCTATGCATTCAAGAAAGAAGGTATCCATGAACTAGAACTTGAAGATTTTTCCGAAAACGGAAATTTGAAAAATTTAATTATGCCTTTTACACAAATAATCAACAAGATGATGAATTGTCTTGTCAGAGCAATGAGTTTAGAAGTCCTTAAACCTACTGATCATTACAATATCTTCTTCAAAGATCCAAAAGTTTCACATTTATTTGTCAATTTTTGTTTTGCACAACACATTGGAAATGAAATCGGATTTCATCCACTTTCTTATCCAAAAATACCTGATTTCACGGAGCATCCTCTCTGGGAATATCTTTGCATGTACTTAGACCATGTTTTGTATTATTTATTGGCTCCTTTCGACAACACAAAACAAAATCAAATTGTAAATTACGACAAAAACGTTTTTCTTTCAGATGTTTTGTCGTCAATTACTAATGCATTGAATGACAGGTTCAACAAAGATATTCCACGCCAATTCGCCTTATTCCCATTGATTTTTGATGACGACAATTTGGTTGAAAAAGGAATAGAAACATTAATTTTGTATTTTGACAAAAGACAAAATTTGTCAATCAAAAACTCAATTTGTCTTGGAATGATCGAGTGTCTGACAACAATACAAACAAAGAACCACCTCTCTTCTATAAAAGGAATTGCTTATTGTCTCTGCAAATTGTTGGCTTTCGCGTATACAAATAAAAACGGTTATGAACTGTTTTTGAGTTATCCGAATGATATTTTGACAAATTTAATACGTGATAATAGTAATGATGTCAATATAACACTCGCTATTGTCTTGCTAACAATCATGTGCTCTTTGGATGGAAGTTACGTTGAAAATTTCCCAAACAAAGAATATTTTGTAAATTTGTCAAATGGCAGAAACAAAATGCACATCTTTTGGTCACTTCTGTTCATCTCTTTGTTCGTTGATGCATTCGAGGAACTTCCCCAAGGAGATTTTAACCTTTTCTTCAATAAAGTTTGCAATTCAATAATTATTGATGATCCCGACATAAAAAGTGCAAGTATTAACGTTCTTTCCAGCTTAATTGTGCATGATATCGGGTTTATATCAATTGATCTCGTAAGAAACACCATTGTTGAGAACTATTTGAGCCCATCTCAAATTGTTCGAATGCAAACTTTCCTTTTGCTGCAGAATTTCTTGATATCTGATATGGCGAATGACGAAGTATACTTTAAAGATGTATTCGAATGCTTAGTTGCTATGAAAGATGATGCAAATCCAGATATAGCAAATGCGGCGAAATATATCTTCCAAAAGTTCCATAATAAAGACAAAAATGATGTGCTAATAATACCTTATCACTCATCAGCCCTCATTGATGGTTCGATTTCCGCTTTCTTGAAGATTAAATTTGATAATTTGCATATCTGCACAGATCCACCTTTCAATCCTCATATTATGCCACTAACAAAGAAAGTGTTGCCATCAATGGGTGCATTCCCGCAATCAAACTACATTTTCAACGAAATTGATAAGGTAGAACATGATAAAAAAGTGACAACAAATATTGCCTTCATTGATGAGAATTTCTATGCTTTTGGAGATGTCGATGGCTCCATCTGTGTACGTAATTTCACGGAGCACATCACAATAAAGCACAACAAGCAGAAATTCTTTAGAAGTGACAATAATTCGCCTTTATCTTTTGTTACTCCGTTTTTGAATGATTCATTGATTACAGGAACAAAGAACGGATTTATTTCCATAATAAGCGGAATACACGGCGAAATGTATCTCAATGATTCCTTTAAAGTTCCTGCAGCTTGTCATTTGGAGTTGAATTCCACAGAATTCGATGATATCAAAAACTGTTTTATGATTGGAACAGAAGAAGGAACTGTCGAAATCTGGGATGCTTCAAGATGCCAAAACACAAACCCTATCAAGCTGCTTGATGAAGGAATATCAAAGATACATCTCAGCCCAGAAGATAACTCATTAATTGGTGTTATCGGAAGAAAAAGTGGCTGCTTAAAATGGTTTGATTCAAGAAGCGGTTTTGACAATCCTGTAATTTATTATGGAGATGGATTTGTTGAATTTGAAACTGTTAAATTCGAAAGAGGAGGTTTCCTCGCGCTAGGTAGTGACGGGAAAATGTCACAATTTAGATTGAACTCGATGAACAAAAGAAGTTTTACATCTCTTGATAATTACGAGATATTTGATGTATCTTTACACAAACCTTGCTTTATTGCATGCGGAAAATCGCTTGATGTAGTTGATTTGATTAGTGGAACACCTTTCCACGTGCTTCCAAGGTTGTATTCGTTCAAACCTGGTGCAATTTCGTCAATTGACTTTAATTCTCATCAACATACTTTTTGTTTTGTTGCAAATGGAAACACAATACATGCAACAAATGTTGCTAATTAAAAATTAACTTGTTTGTTATAACTTTTTCTTACATTATGCATTGTAGAGTTTGTTTGAAAAATGGAATAATTTAATCCCAAAAATTAGGGTTATTTTTATATGTAAACAAGCTTTTTTTACATGAAAATACTTTTCATGTTTGAGGGTTCACTTACGACCCTATGATATGATCTTTAATTCAGATGTTTATTTTTTTTGGATCAAGCAATGACGATAGAGGATGTTTGGTCTTTATAACCTTTAATTTTCTCGCATAAGGTCGCCAAAAAAAGGTGCGGAAATAAAAAACCGCAGTTTGAGTACTTTCTGAGAGTCTGTTCGTCAGAAAGTATACATTTGTAAACTTTCTGACACTAAAATTTTTTTGGTCCTTTCAAAGTTTTTGACAATGTCAAAAAGTATACATCGGGGCTCTCAATTTTCCTCTCAAACGGCGGTTTTTTAAAAACGCTCAATTTTTCATCGACCTTATATGCCAGTAAATACAATTTGAAGAAAATTATCAGGATTCTACTAATGGAGTTACAAATATTGAGATCAAATCTAGGTGTGAAATTGTTTTTGGACAACTCGGTCCATCATATTGTGGAAATCATGCTTTCGAAGGGAGCAGACGCACTCTCAAATCGGTTTCATTTCAAGAGAATTCCAAACTTACTACAATCGGTGAATGTGCATTTTTTCAATGTACAAAACTCAATGCTATTGATTTTTCAAACTGTAAATATCTTAAAACAATCAATACTTATGCATTCTTTAATTGCTATTCACTAGTGAATATATCTTTACCATCTTCAATACAAGTTTTGTCAAAATACTGTTTCTTGGATTGCTCAAAGCTTGAGAATGTTTTTATTTCATCAGATTCAGAACTGCAAACAATGGATTCCGGATGTTTTAAAGGAACAATTCTTAAAAATCTTTTTATTCCAAAACATGTCTCAATGATGAATGCAAACATAGATTCTCCAGAACCACTTAAAACAATCGAATGCGATGAATTAAGTGATTCCTTCACTTCAGTGAATGGTATTCTATATACAAAAGATAAAAAATCACTAGTTTTCTTTCCGAGAAATAACTCCAAATCATTCACAACTCCAAACTTTATTGAAAATATTGGATATTATGCATTTGGATATTCATTGCTCGTATCCATTACATTCACATCAAACATAAAAACAATTGAAACATATGCATTTCTTGGCTCCCAATTAAAATCAATGAATCTCCAACCTTTCATTAATTTAAATGGTTATGGACAGTTTCAAAATTGTGCAAGCCTAAATGAAATTACAATAGAGAATGGAGTCACAAAAATTAGCGCAATATGTTTCTATGGAGTAAATATATCTAGTATTGTATTTCCAAATACATTAAAAACTATTGGCGCTAATGCTTTTGCAAAGTGTAATAATCTGATTAATGTTACTATCCCAAGTTCAGTTACAGTATTGGGGGGAAGATGTTTTTCTCCGCACACCAATATTACCTTTGAGGAAGGATCTCAATTCATAAGCGATGATCAAAATCTAATATATAATTCAAGAACAGCCCTGTCTTTACGTTTGAGCGAGAAAGAATCGTATACAATACCAGAGTATGTTGAAGAGATTCGTGACAATGTTTTTAATGAAAATAATAATCTAAAAACTATTGTTTTTGAAGGTGAATCGAAGCTTAAATATATAGATGGCGCAGCATTTGCTAACTGCAGAAATCTAATAAATATTATTCTTCCAAATTCTCTTGAAATTATTGGACGGCGTGCATTTGCAGAATGCATATCAATCCGAATAATGAAATTCGGAAATAAACTGAAAACAATATATGATTCAGCTTTTCAAAGTTGCACAGGTCTTGAAACAATAGAATTTTCAGAATGCGAAAATACAACAATTAGAGATTATGCCTTTATTAGTTGTACGAATCTCAAAAATGTAATTTTCTCAAACAATATAACATTTATTCAGAGATTAGGATTCTCAGATTGTTTGTCGTTGAGAGAAATTGTTTTCCCATCATCATTAGAGAATATTGATACATATGCATTCAGTAACACAGGAATCACAAACATCACATTTCCATCAGACTCTAAACTGACATCTATTGGTATGGGTTGTTTCAGCAAATGTTTTAATCTTTCACACATCACACTTCCTCCAAATGTCAAGCAGATAGGATCTAACTGCTTCGAGAACACGAACATCACTTCGTTCACAGTTCCAAATCACACCGAATACATGTCAGACTACGTCTTCAAAGGATGCACAAATCTAGTCAAGTTCACAATTCCAGAAGACTGTTCTCTTCGAAACATCGGCAACTTGTTCTTCGACGGATGTTCATCTCTTTCTGTCATTGAGTGCCCACGAAGTGAATACTTCTCAGTCGATGTCGGTGCTCTTTACAACAAGTCAGAGACAATCCTCTTCTGCTTCCCGCCAGCATCAGATATAAAGTTCTTCAACCTCCCACAGACACTTCGTACTATATCATCATGTGCATTCATTGGATGCAGAAATCTGATCAGCATCTCTATCCCAGACGACTCAGTTCGTACCATCGAACAATATGCTTTCGCGAACTGCTCTTCACTGACATCGATCAACATCCCTAAGTGCGTTGAAAACGTCGAGAGTTCTATCTTCTTCGGATGTGATCATCTGCGATGTGGTGTCATCATCGAGAACAGGTCAATCCCATTCATTAGTAAAATCATATCAGAATGTCTTCTTAACCCTAAAGCGATATACTCATGCGACTTCCTTACATGTCAATGTAGAGTTATCAACGCTGAAATCACCCAATCACTTCTTTATGCATTCGCTATTATTCTAAATGTAGAAATATTCTAAAAATTTTATTTTAAACATAATCTTCAGTTTTATTAAAAAGTTGAACAGGGATTAAGAAATTTTGATCCTGAAGAAAATGCTGAGTATACCGATTTTCTACATTTAGAGATTTTACGTATTATCCGTTATAATAATCGTGACAAAAAGTCATATTTGAGACTTGCAAAACTCATTTCTGATGATTATCATATAACAGAGGACATCAGCATTCCAACTATTTTTTCCTATCTATTTTACGAAGAATATGGTATTAAATTAGACAAGTCTGATGATTTCGAAAAATTTAAATCAGAAAATCTAATTCATTCAGAGAATACGATTTACAGAGCAATTATGTACAATGACCTAGAAAGATTCATTTCATTCACTGAAATAGAAGGATTTAATAAAAATCAAACACTTGAAAGTAAATTATACCCAAATATTGGAAAACTTTCATTACTTGAATTGTGTTGTTATCATGGAGCAGTTGATTGTTTCAAGTTATTAAGAACGAAATTTAACTCAGAAATAACTCAAACATGTCTTCAATTTTCATTTTTAGGAGGAAATCAAGAAATCATAAGTGAATGTTTGAAATATCAAACACCAGATAAATATTCCATTGAATATGCAATTGCCTCGCACAACATTGATTTTGTCACATTCTTGATGAATGAATACAATATGGAGATCGATTTAAATTATTGTGTACGGTATAATAATCTTGATTTATTATTAGTTTATTTCGACCAAACCAATGATATTAACAAATGCATTATTTGTTCCATAAGTCTTAATATTCCATCCTTTTATGAATATTTCATTTCACAAAGCTCCAATATCAATGAAAAAGATATATGAGGAGAAACCACTCTTCATATTGCTGCAAAATATGAATGTAAAGATGCAACTGAACTTCTTATCTCAGATGGGATAAATATCAATGAAAAAGATGATGCTGGAAGAACCGCTCTTCATTATGCAGCAGTAAATAATTATAACAAAGAAATAGTCGAAATTCTTATTTTACATGGTGCAACTATAAATGAAAAAGATAACGATGGACAAACCGCACTTCATATTGCAGCAGGATGTAATAGTAAAAAATAGCTGAACTTCTTATCACATTGTGCAAACATCAACGAAAAAGATAAAGATGGAGAAACCGCTATTCATATTCTAATCAAAAATAATTCTAAAGAAATGGTCGATTTTCTTAGATCACATGGTGAAAATGTAAATGAATAAGATAATGATGAAAAATCAACTCTTCATTATGCAGTATATGATAATAATAAAGAACCAATGAATCTACTTATTTCACATGGTGCAAAAATCTCTGAAAAAGATGAAAACTATATGTGCCTTTTTTACAGTTCTATTTTATCTGATAGTAAAATTAAATTTTTATAACAAATAAACAAGCAAAATAATATTATAGCTTCACTTCTTTCCTTCTTTAATAGGTTGATTCATTAGCATCAAAATCTCATCATGCTGTTTTGATAACGAAAGCTTTGTCTGTGATATAGAATTAGTTACAACATTTGATAATTGTAGAATTTGATTGGTTGTTTTTTCGTAGTCAACTGATTTTTCTGTTTTATTTTGAAGTGATGATTTTAAAGATTCCAAAATATCTGTTTTTAAGCTTTGGAACTCTGTTCTTCTGATACAATGGCAATGAGGATCATTTAATTCATTAATTTCATTCTGGAGTTCTTCTATTTTGATGTTTAACTCTTGAATTTTTTGATTTAATTGTGCTTTTTCATTTTGTAATAGACCATTTTCTGAATTATACTTCATTTCATTTTCTTTCAATTGTTTTTCTAATACTGATATGTTTTGATCTTTTTCTGCTAATTTCTTCATATAATCATCAACCTCCGCTATTAAATGATCATTTTCAGTTGTTGCATCAGATAGTTTAGATTCAAGAATTGGAATTTGTTTAGAATTATCTTCAAGAATATTAATCTTTTCGTTTTTAAGATCGTTTTCCTTTTTACTGACTCTTAGTTGCCCATTTAGTTCAGAAATTTGCGAATTTAGATCATTGTTTAAGCTTGTAGCTTTAGATAGTTTATGTTTAAGTTTTTGAAGTGAATTTATGTATTCGGACACTTGATCTTGTTGTTGTTTATTTTGAGCTTGGAGTTCAGCGTTTTTATCACTTTGGATTTCTAATTCATGCTTAAGCTTTTCAATTTCGTCTTCTTTTTCAGAAGTCTTCTGTTCCATGCGTTTTTGCTGAATACCAATCCTTTTTTGTGCATCTCCAAGCTTATTTTCGAGCTGTTTATGATCATTGTATTGTTCCGAAATCTTTTCTTGTAATTGCTTGATAAGATCTTGATATTGAAGCGCTTGTTTAGTAAGTTTATCAATATCAGCTTTTTGAGCAGCAATTGTATCAGTTCCATCGTTTAAAGTCTGATTTAATTGAGATAATTCACGTTCACGAGTATTGTTCAGTTCTTCGTAATTCTTTTTAAGGATTTCAATCGTTATTTCATATTTAGATGCGTTTTGCTGGAGTTGGTCTTTTAATAAAGCAATTTGATTATTTGCATTTTTTAATTTTTCGGTAAGCTCATCAATAGATTGTCCATTCTTTGCATATTTCTCATTTAAATCCCGTAATTGAATAATTTGATCGTTTGCTGAAGAGTATTTAGCGCTTAGTGATGTGAATTTTTGAATTAAGTCAGAAAGTAAGATTTTTGTTCCATCTGGTAATGTAATTGGAGCACCATTTCTCAAATCATTTCGTTTTGCATCATCTAATTCGCCCTCTAGTTTAATTTTATCGCGACTTAAGTCATCATTGCTTTTTTGGAGATTTTGAATCTTCTGCATGAGTTCTTTGTTCCTTTTATCTGCGTTTGTCTTAATATTTTCGAATTGTATCTTAAGCGTAGTATTTTCTGCAATCGCATCTCTCATTTGTGTATTATTTCTCTTTAAATCGACAATCCTTACTTTGTATAATTCGTATTCCTCTTCAATTTGTTTGTATTTCATCTTTAAATCGAATAATTCTTTCTGAGTCTTTGTTAATAAAACTTGATATTCCCTAACAAGAATGAAAGGATCTTGTTTCCCATTTAAATTATCTTCTGTAGTAGATGTATCGTGAAGAAATGAAGATTCATCAAGGATACTATTATCAATTTCGGTCATAAATGATTTTCAAGATTTTTTAAACGGTCGCTATATAAAATTTTAGTGAGCATTTATAAATTAATGCAATTGATTAATGGGAATCTCATGTATATCTGCTGATGGCTATAATTTATACTTTAAAACTCGGTTTTTCTGAATTTGAGAAGATCTATGTAACAAATCTTCTAAAATATTTGCTCTATACATTGAACTTAAGGTCTCTTCTAGTAATATGTAAATAGTTAATGCGAAATCCAGATAATTTTTTTGGATATCTTTGATTTCTTCTAGAATTACAATCTGATATTCCTCTGTTTTGAGTAATTCATCATAATTCGACGAATTTCCGTTCTGGTCAATAGATTATCAGCATGTCATCATTCTAATGGCATGTTTTTAAAATCATTCAAGTAGTTGATTGTCCAATTCATTAAATATTAAAAAAGGGGGACAAACAAAATTTACCCACTTTTCATGAATTTTGAATTGGAAAAATTCTTCAAAAAGAATAAGCAATTAAAACGAATTACATGTATCGCTCCATGTATCACATGAAATAAGAGGTATTTTTATGCATACTTATCATAGTTCTCATCGGTATTGAAATTTCCTACCCAAAACACATGAAGAAAATAAAAGTGCAGTCACTTCCTTCCAAACAAAATTATGGACTAAAACTCTAGTTAGGAACTGCATATAGCTGTAGTATAGGATGAGTTTAGAAAAAGCCAGCTAACTCTGTATAGGTAATTTATAATCTTATTCATTATAGAAGCTATTTTATTACTGTGAATAGTTTATAACGAAATTTACTGAAATTACAAAATATAATCAGTCAGAAGAGGGTTAATTCGAATAAATACGCATTGAGAATACATAGATGGATGTGTTTTGTTGCATTGTCCTATTGAAGGATTACTTTATAAAATACATAGAGATAATAGAGGCATATAAATACCCTAGAATTTAAATATTGTACCTTTGTAATCAAGATTTTATTTGAATAGTTTACGAAGCTTTTATGGAGGATCTTTTAATTACTGCTCAAACAAATTGTGATCTACGCGAATCTGCGGAAAACAAAATCAAAGAATTAGAAGAAAATCAGCCAGAACAACTTTTGTCTGAATTGCTACAAATTTTGAATGATTTTCACAAAGATTATCGCGCCCTATCACTTGCAGCAATCATTTCATATCAAATTCTACAAGTTATGACAATAGAAAATAATGGATCAGATATATTTTTCGATGCTGTCCAAAAGTCATTTAATCTTCTTTCTCATCCAAATGACCAAGTTGCACAATCTGCTTCACAAATACTTGCAATTGCATCATCACCATTAATACGATCTAATTTAGCTAATAATATTATTACTGATCTAGTTTCAAATCTCAATACAACTAATGATCCAAGAATTGTTCATTTTATTATAACATCGATTGAAGGTATACTCAAAGAATGTTCTCTTGAAAGAGAACAATCAATACCAATTTTCGAATCAATTTTACAAATTTCAGACTCAAATTTATTTACAAAAGATGTAATTAGAGCTCTAACACTACTTTGCGATGAAATACCAATTGTTATTAACCAAGAAAATATTTTCAATAAAATTTTTGAAATAATAACTCAATCAACACAATCAAAAGAATACAAGGCAGAATCTTATCGATTCTGGTATAAACTCATCAAAAGTTCCTTTTCAGTTTTTGAAATTTTTTTAGATTTTCTTTTATCCACAATTGAAAGCGATCTAGAATCTTTCGATCAATTAGAACAGTCTACAATTATTAATATATCAATGATTGTTGAAAGAATTGCTAAAATTCAGATTTCCCAGCAAAAAATATTTATAAATTTAGAAAAAATGTTCAAAATTTGTCAAAATCTTATTAATATTCATTTATTATCAACTCCAGAAGAAAATCCACAAGATGAACAATGGGGAGTTTACCAAGCATCTGGCAATGCAATAACATCTCTTTGCAGAAGTTCAGGAGATAAAATTGGTCAATTTTTATTAGAAAATATTGATAATATTTTATCTAATTTTGATGATGAGAAACACAAAGAAACTTGTTTATTTTTAGCTATAAATTGTGTAGAAGAAAGCATATCATTATCATATGATCATTTCATGACAATTCTTTCTACAATGTTTAATAATGATTCTTGTTTGCGTGTTATATTTCAATGTCTTAATTTCATTATTGTTTTTGTAAATAGAAACAAAATTGGTCTTTCTGATGAAGAAAAAAGTGGATTATTACAACTTGTAGAACCAGTAGCATCATTATTAGATTGTAATGATTTATTTATTATTAAGATTTCCTTGGCATGCCTTTCTTATTTGTCTGTTTTCGAATTGTCTCCCAGAAATGAAATTATGGAATTAATTTTGTCAAAAATTATTTGTGATGATGAATTAGTATCAAATGGAGCAACAGATGCCTTAGAATTATTTTTTGATGTCACAGAGAGCATTGATTGTGCTTTAGCATCTATTCCTTTCCTTCTACAAGCATATAGAGAAAAATCTCAAAATGAAACATATTATACAAATATTGCTGATTCAATTATGTTTTGTGCAACAACTGCAAAAGTTGTCATCGAAGATTACGCGATGGATATTATTGAAGCGCTTATTGAAGACATAGAACAATCTGATACTATATTCGAAGTGATTTGTTATGTTTCAGGATTTGTTAATGATATATCTCAAGAATATTTAGAAATTCTTCATAATATTTTCATTATTTCTCTTCAAAATATTGAAGATGAGGAAGTTTACACAAGTAGATGTATGAATTTACTTGATATAATGAAAAATAACAACTTTGCAATATATATTGAGAATTTGGCCAACATTTTATTATCAAATGTTGGAACAATTAGTCAAAATATTTCTAATGATTCTATTTATGTGCTTTCCAGAGCTGTTGAATTATTTCCCAATCAAATGGAACGTTTTAATGAATATTTAATCGAAATTGTTAAATCATTTTTTGAAAATTTTGATCAATCAGCAGAAAACCAAACAATCTCAGTCAATTTGAATTTATTATCAGCACTGCTCTCAACACATCTTGATCTTTTTATTATGATGAAAGAATTCGTTTTTAGTATCATCGAAAATTGCAAAGAAATTGCATATGTGAGTGGAATTGTTTGCAGTGATTTAATGAGTTTATATCGAGATATGATTTTATGTGACAAAGATGTCGCAAAAGAATTTATTCTTTCTCATGATACTTTTTTTAAAATCCTTTCAAAATCATTTCTTTTTAATGATGATTGCTATGAAATTCGAAATAATTTGATCTTCCTTTTAGAACAAATTGAAATAGATGTATCAGAGTATGTGGATATCTCTGAAGAAGACGAAAAGGATGTTGCGGATTAAGACCAATGTTTGTAAAAATATAACATATATTACTTTCTAATTTTTACATAATTTTTACTCGAAATTAAAAGAAAAATAAGGGAAGAGTATTTTGCAGGAGCATTTTTTTTAATCATGCAAAATAAAACGTTGAACTGTTTCTTTATTATTTTTATTTGCTCTATAATAAAGAGCAGTTTTCCCGTTTTGCTGTATAAAGAGCTGTGCGTCCATCTTTATCTTTTTAATTGATATTTGCACCATGTGAAATAAGAAGTTCGACTATTTCTTTATTATTATTTTCTGATGCATAATGAAGAGCAGTTTGTCCATAATTATCTTTTTCATTTATATTTGCACCATGTGAAATAAGAAGTTCGACTATTTCTTTTTTATATTTATATTCTGCTGCATAATGAAGAGCGGTTTTTCCATTACAATCTTTTTCATTTATATTTGCACCATGTGAAATAAGAAGTTTGGCTGTTTCATCACTATTGAAATCAATTGCATTTTTAAGAGCGGTTTTTCCATATTTATCTTTTTCATTGATACTTATACCATGTGAAATAAGAAATTCGGCTGCTTCTTTACTATTATAATTTGCTGCAAAATGAAGAGCTGTTCTTCCATCATTATCTTTTTCATTGATATTTGCACCATGTGAAAGGAAATACTCACAAAGGGAAGGAATATCAAAAATCGATGAAAGAACAAAGCATTCGCTAATATCATTAGTTTGATCAAAATAAACTAAAAATGAATCAAGATTATTATGCATTCCGCAATCATATAAAAAGATCTTTATATTGTATTCATTCATCAAGAATGTGACAAAATCAATGTTGTGCGAGGCAATTGCATATTCAATGGAATATTTATCTGGTGTCTCGTGTTACAAACATTCACTTATGATCTCTTGATTTCCTCCTAAAAATGAAAGATATAGACACTTTTGAGTTATCTTTGAGTTAAATTTGGTTCTTAAGAACTTGAAACAATCAACTGCTCCATGATAACAACATAATTCAAGTAATGAAAGTTTTCCAATATTTGGGTATAATTTACTTTCAAGTGTTTGATTTTTATTAAACCCTTCTATTTCAGTGAATGAAATGAATCTTTCTAGGTCATTGTACATAATTGCTCTGTAAATCGTATCTTTGGAATGAATATCCAGATTTTCTAATTTAAGTTTTTCGAAATCATCAGACTTGTCTAATTTAATTCCATATTCTTTGTAAAATAGATAGTTAGAAGTGAGCGTAAGAAAACCGACATCTGTTATATGATAATCATCAGATAGGAGTTTGGCAAGTCTCAAATATGACTTTTTGTAACGATTATTATAAAGAATAATATATAAAATATCTTTCATAATTTTTTTGAGGACGATATTCCTTGAATCAATCAATTCTGTTTTGATCGTATTGTAAATCTTGTTTAAATCTTCTTCGTTTTCTGTTTTTAGCTGATGCAACGCAATATATAAATCAATTTGGTGTGCAAACATACTTCGCAATTCACTGTATTTATTTGGATGGATGTTTTGTTCAGACATGAAGAAACCACTGTCTTAGTTTACAACTATTCAATTTATAACATTTGCTTTAAAAATGGTATAACAACAAAGAATTGGCGACCAATATTATGAAATATATAATCAATGATACAATATTATCTTATGCACAAATGTATTCAAATATCTAATGTGGTGAATCGCAGAAATTCTTCAAAAATGGGTTGTAGAGTTTTTTCAATGATGAAGATATAGACTCTTAATCATATTTAAACATATTATTTCAATAAAAAATGAACATTGGATGTACCAATTTTGAGAAACCTTGATCAGCAGGCTCTCAGTGAAAACTCCATTGTTTAAGATTTTGATCAAATCTCTTCTTTTTGATATCTGAAACGACAGATAGGTAGATAATGATATGGTCATGTTATGGTCATGCTTATGCATAATTATATCTATTCTATCAAGAGAAAATAGACCTCGAAGTGTCGAAAATTGAATAGTTTAAACTACAGAGGAATGAAGGTTTGACCTCAATTTTTTTTTTTTGAAAATGAAACCAGAAGAACTTCAGTATATTAATCAAGTTGGAAATGCTTTAGATACGTTTGTTAACGCTGTGAAAAGTGAAATAGCAACAGACATCATTTCATCTGCTAACAATATTACAAATTTAATTCAAGAAAATATCAAAATTCCGGTTACAACGTTTACATCACAAAATTTTGTAACAGCTCTCGAAATATCGCTTAGCAAATCCAATGCTCCTATCTTAATTTCAGTTTTTTCAATGCTTTCAAAAATATTTTTTGCAACAGATAAATTAACAAGCTCTCTCAAGATTAATATCATTGAATTGTTTAAGCATGCATCATCTCAAATCCTATTAGAACAAAATGTACCTATTTTCGCTTGTCTTCTTAATATAGCAAGTGAATACAATCATAATTCACATGAAATAATAGAATTAGCATCGTTTTCAGAACTTCTCTTAGAATCTCTTAAAAAACGCGAAATCACTTATTACGATGTCCTTTATCTTTACAATGTTCATACAGGATTACCGTATGAGCCTGTAGACAATCCTTTAACATGCAATGTAATGCGTCTGCTATTCGAAGTAGCTTTCAATTCCCCTCCTGAAATAGGAAGAGTTGCTTTATTTACACTTGCAAATAATACTGTTCTCAGAATGCTTGGTTCTACACGTATTCTTAATGCTTGTGGACTCTTTGATAGATTTATCGAAATACTACCGCAGCTTTCCGGTGAATATCTCGATGCAGTCATTTTTATTTTGTCAAGATTTGTTCATAACGAAATGTTTGAGGATACGAACAAAAAGGATGTATTTAGCAAAGCTATTCCACTTGATTATTTCGCTCAAAATATAGGAAATTTCGAAGAATCTTGCAGATTGTCATTAATTAGTTTAATTACCGAACTTGGTAGAACAAGAACCTTAGATATACTACAGACAGATATTGTTTCTTATCTTTGTGATTGGTACACTAACAGTCCAAACTACAATGTCTATCAAAAAAGTGGTCTTGCATTGTGTTGCATGATTTCCAACTTAGAAGACCCTTATACTCAGTTTCCAAATGTTTTTGAAGTACTAAAGATCCTTATCGAGAAGATTGCAGACGGTTCTGATGAAATGGTTGCTTATTTCGTCATAAAAGTCGCTTTCAAGATCAAAGCAAAGATGTCAATGAATGGATTGGCCCAGAAATATGAAGATCAGGCAGATAACATTGGTTTGATGGAAATGATTGAAACTTACAGTGTTTCTGGAAGCGACAACTTGATTGATGCAATAGAATTCTTGAATTTAAACATTGACTTCTATGGATTAACTGAGAAATTGAAAGAAGCAAAAGAAGAAAGAGATCGATTGGCTCTGGAGATTGGAGAACCTCTAAAATATCGATAAAATAAAGAATAATATAATGTGATATAATTTTTTTAAGGGTGCACTTACCACTTTCTGACATTCGCTCAAAAATCGGAATACAGGCATGAAGAATATCAGAAAAATAACAAAATTTACACTTTTGTTGCGTTTTTATACATGCGTGAAGCTTGTTAAAAATGCAATAAAAGTGTAATTATCATATTAATGGTTCTAATGCCGAACAGCATTTGAATCAAAAATAATCGTATGTTTGATAATTATCATTTTCATCCGGCATCTGAATTAATGAACTATAACTATATTTCTATTAATTTAAGCTCAATCCTCTCATACATATCTTTATTTTTTGGTTCACAAGACATTTTCTATCTTTGTAAATGAATTTTCAAACTTGGAAAGCCCTAAATAAATGAAGGATGTTTTATTGTCGTCTGGAAAAGTGACAAAATTATCATTGTCGACTAAAAAAGAGATTTTACAAGCATGTTTTGATACCTAAAATAGGAAGAACATCAATACCATCTATGTGTAGAGAGGGAAAACACAAATTATATTTTGAGTGGCTCTATATCAGGCGAAAAATTCTCGAATTCTAAAATTGGCATTGGATAATTAATAGTTTAATAAGGGAAAATGAGAGACCTTATTAGATGAGATTTTAATAGCACATGTAATATATCTTTTGTAAAAAAATAGATTAATTCAATGATTGGTTTGTACACATCTACTATTCAAATGGATTTATCTTCTAATATAAGCGTAAAGCATTTGGTTCTGGAAATAGCAATTAAAAATAATTCAATAGGATTTTTTTTTGTAATGTACATTTATAGATAATAAAAACAAGTATTTTATTATTTTTCTGTTGCTTCAGCTTGACAATAGCAGCAAATGCCGTTAACGGGCTTTACAGTACCACATACAGGACATTTTTCATAAAGTTTTTGTTCTGTATCGTAAATTATATGGTTAATGCAATACTTTGAGAAAGGCAATGCATAATGTGAACATGAAACATCTGCACAGATAGGTCTATTATCTTTTCTAGAATAATATGCTTTTTCAACCCATTTGTGCCTTTCATGCATTAGCTCATTGATTTTATTTAGATTTCCACTAGCTAATATTTCTCTAATATTTGTGATTTCATCGCCAATTAATTCAGCTCTTTGTAATGATCTCAATTGATGAGCATAAAATTGTCTGACTTTCCAATATTTATCTTCTAAGGATTTTGGAGCCGAGTCTCCTCGTGACATTTGATATAAAGCGCTAGTATCTACAGGATTGAAAGATCCGTCTTCTCCAAATGGATTTGTAGTTACCATATAATTTGCGGGTGGATCTTCAACGGGAATTTCAAACCCTTCTTTCTCAAGTTGCTCTTTGATTTGATCATTCATTTCCTAAATTATTTACTATAAAAAGTGACAATGATATCCTTCTGAAGATAAATCTAAGAATGATGTATCTTGAAACGCACCATAACCATAATTAGGTAGAAAAGACTCCTCACAACTCATAAAAACACTCAATTCTTTCAATAAATTTCTTTGCAAAATTTAATGGGCGCGTAAAGGGTTGGCGTCCTACGGCGTCCTGATGTAAACTATTCAATTTTTGAGAAGTTTACACCATAATTGAATAGTTTATGGCGTCCTGAGAGGAGATTTCAATGGGGTATGGCGTCCTAAAAAATAGAAGAAAATGATTTTTTCTCGATTTTTCTAGAAATTGAATTTTTTAAAAAAGAAAAAAATCAAAACGTATACATTCAAGAAAGACTATAAATGAAGATTTTTCTATTTTTTTCATTCTAAAACATCTTTTTTTGGATAATTTTTTTTTAATAAATATGTAAGAAAGATTGAAGAAAAAGTAAATTTACTTTAAGAAAATTCGTTTTACATGATGCAAGACCCATAACAACTATAAATATTCAATTATTTAAAATAAAAAAAGAAAAACAGATTAAATGTATCTCACATCAAAATCCATTGACCTAAGGATGTTAAGTTTCTGTTTTTAAAAGTTGATATTTTTTTTTTTAATTTTAAGAAAATTAATAGCATGTTATTAGACAATAGGAGTGTAATGATATTGACTAAACAGAAATGAGAGAATAGAGATATAATTTTGATAAGCAATATTGCGAACAAATTCTGAAGTAAAATCGCGATCAATAATTGAAAATTACGATCATGTACTGAAAAATGACGATCGAATTGAATGAATAGAATTATATCTAAGAAAAAATAAATTGTATTTAGAAGATGAACAAAGAAAGGTGTATGCTAAAAATCATTTAACAATAAATGGAAATAAAACGAAATTGTTAAAAGAAAAAAATGAAAATTGTTAAATAATATATTATTTTTTAGTCATAAGAATAAAAATATAGTAGTTATAAAAGGAATTAGACTTCATATATCAATTCTTTTTCTCTGTAGATGTGGAACGTTTGCTTTTCGATCTCTTTCGATGAACTTGAAAATATAAGTTATTATCGCTGAGAATCCTTTCCGAAATAGGAGCTTTACGTTTAGGAGGATTGTCGGATGAATTTTGTTTTTTATTGTTTGATTTTGTTGTTATGGAAGATTTTTTCTTATTTTTTTCAGAATTTTGCTTGCTATTAACTGAAACTTGTTTTGACGGCCCAACAATAGCATTTGTAGTAGGAAGAATTCCCAATAACGAGCGCATTTTCGATAATTGTTTTTCAATATGATCAAGAAGGTCCAGCTTATGTTCTAGATTACTAGACATTTGATTTGTAGAAGGATGGTTTTGATTTTCTGGTTCTAAATCTGTAGAGTCTGCAATATTTGAATTTTCGGAGCGAATTGGAGCATCTGAACCTTGATTTGTATCGGCTTGCTCAAAATTAGTTTGAATTGGAGTGGATGAAGTTAGTATGGTTATCTCGTGTACGGAGGCACTGCGTTCCTCCGTACGCAATACTTGTGAATTTGACACTTTACAAAACCGTTAACGTATATTTTACAACACAAACACAAACACCAACTTAACCTTAAATATTTATAAAGCCGCCAACCACTTCACCTTACTACTGTAAAAATAAACGTTCTCACTTATAAAAGTATTGCAACTCTTCCCATTGCTGTGCTTCACACAATAGTTCATATTCTTCAGTATCGCTGCTGTCGCTCCAATCGTCAGAGTCAAAATCACTGTCAAAATAAATGTTAGTAAGTTTTGACAAAGCTAATGAAACACGCTTACCGTTTGTATCGTATGCTTGTATAAACTTTCCATTCTTCATTCCTTCATAAACGCTCAAACTAACTTTACCCTTTCTCCCTCGTATCTGATAGAATGTATTTTCACGAGGAACGAAGAACAAATTCTTGAACTCATGACCGTTGTAGTTTGTTATCTCAATAGTTTTCGTCATTTACATCCAAATAAAATAAAAAATAAAATAAAAATAATTTTAAAAATAAAATAAAAAATAAATGATATCACCACCCTCACACGTATGAAAACATAGCACAAAAATAAATTTAGGTGAAGTGGTGAAATCTCACCTCTTTTTTCACCTCTTTTTTCACCCACTTGAATTCATTGCTTTATAACTCTCTTCCTTTCTCCAACTCTTCTAACTTCTTCCTAAGTTCAGCAATGTTGTCCTCATGAAGTTTAATCTTCCTTAATATACCTTCTCTATCTAATGGTTGCTTTATCTTTCTAAACTGAACTCTACCATCCTTCATAGTATGAACGTAAAAACCTTCTGGAACCGCTCCTGATTTAATGTATTCTACCAAAAACTTTTGTTTCATTGCTTCAGTGACTTTAGTCGTCATTTTACTCTAAATAAAATGTTCAAATAAAATAAAACTAACATTATTTTTTCAGTAAGGAAACGCAGGAGTTTTACGATTTATTTGAGGCGTGGGTTCTGGTTTAAATGTTGGAGTCGGTTTTGGAGTTGACTTTTGAACAGGAGTTTGTACTTTCATAGGTTCAGGAGTCATTGAAGGTGTTGTTTGTGAAGGCGTTGGTTTTGACGTTGGTTTTGGCGATGGTGTCGGAGTTTGTTTAACTTCAGCTACTTCAGTATTATTTATAACATTTGCTTTATTTCTTTTCAACATCATTACTGCTCCTGCTGTAGCTAGCAAACCTAGTGGGAGACCATATTTTATATAAGGACTTGACCAAATGCTATTTTTGACAGGAGCTGGTGGAACACCTAACCTTGGTGAGACTGCTCTTTGCCATTGTGCAGCTCGTAAGAAATATTCAATAGGTGCTCCATAATCGTTTAGTAAAGTTTGTTTCATAGATGGTGAAGGTTCACGAGAGCTTGATGAAGAACTCATTTATAAGCTTTAAAATAAACGTTCATCCTTTATTCCTCACTGTCGTCAGTTTGCTAAGTTATAGTCATCTAATCTTATTATTGGGATTCCATTAGCACGCACCTGAATGGCAAAGCAACAATCCCTCATAAATCCAATAAGTGGCTTTGGTACATTTTCTGTTGCTAGTTCAATAGGTCCTTTAACAGACAATTTGTATGTTATTGGAGCAGTAATGTTTGACCTTGCTGGAAGCAAAAGTCACTTCTGTTGGAAAACCACATAAGAAATGTGTGTTGTCATAGCTATCCCATTTATGTTCCACACTACCATCATCCACCAATGACCTCATAACATCTTCATTAAATCCTATCATATCATTGTTTGTATTGCAGGCGTTCGCAACCATTTCATAAAATACAGGTCCATATGATTTTTTCAGGTTCTGCAGGCATATTTCCATAAGCTCCCATGGAAAGCTGAAGATATTTAAACTTAGGGTTCTCAAAATTAACATAATAGTTGTCTTTCTTTCTAAATAGTGCCAAATACTTTTAACATTAATAGGCGTATAAGCTGCTGTAAATGTTGCACTTGAACTATCTGTATTCTTTGAGAATGAACCGTCCATAGGAATCCAATCCATAACTTTAACAGGAAAACATAAAGCCTCGTTTGTATAATGTTCTACAAGTTCTGTATAAATGTTAGGGTCTAAAGAGAAATGACTTTGGATGAATGAAACATTCATTAAATCCATCTTTGTTCGAAATAGTTGCTGGTTTACAGTTGTAATAGTAATGTTCCACTAGCTTCTACTGACTTCGTTATCATAGTGAATGGTTCATTCCATGGAACAAATTTATTTGTCGGTGGATTTGAATCTGAAGCAAATGCAACTTTAAGAGTTGGATTGAAAGCAATGATATCATTTACAGATATAGATGTGCATTGTAAGGCGTCGCTACTGAAACTTTACTTTAAGCTGAATGTTTCCTGCAAAACTGGAATAAATCGAATAGCTTCTAATGGAAGGAATCTTCTAACAGGAATTCTTAAACGAAGCTTAAAATCAAATGATTTTCCTGCTGTATTGGACCACTAACAATTTGTTCCTGTTCTGCATGTTCCCGAATGACTCCATACATCTTCATGTCGAGTCTTTGAGAAAATCTACTTTCTTTATTTGTTTCGGTAGTTTGTGAGTTTGAAGTTATAATATGCTTCTTCTCTTGCGTTGTCTTGAGAATATACGATACGACCATTTCAAGGATTTGATATCCAGCAACTGATAGAAGCGTCATCGAAACCAATCCAAAAATCCTGGTGGGTTTGTTTTATTGGAACCTGAACCAATTTTCTTTATCTACAATAAATTGACCTTCCATTTTATACGTAATGAATGTATTGTAAAGTCCAACATATTTTCGCCAGGAGGTGAGAGATTGAATGTTACCCATGTGTTATCTTTAGCAGTTCCAGGTTGTGATGGAATCTTTGCGTCAGAATATTTTCTATTAGTGTCACCAATTTGAACTGCATTGTCTATGATATCGAAATATGAGCGAATCTGATGAATATGCTCTGCTGGAGTAAATTCGTTTAACTGTTCGTTCTGCATGTATTTACTTCGGATAAAAATATCTATTTACTTCATTATTCTCACTCTTCTTCTTGGCATTCGTGGTGAAGTTGTTTCTTGACATTTTCAATGAACTGTACATTCTCTTTTGTCTCAACTTCTTTCACTGGTGGGTCAGGATTCTTTGACTCGGTTTGTTTTTTCAATGAAATTCACGAACTTTGCAATAAGCTCTTGGTTCGTTATTGAAAGTACATCTGGCTTCTTTTCTTCTTGTTCTTTGACTCAGTTTGAACAGAAGGTTTTATATGGGCTTCGTGGACTTCACCCTTGCATGCACCTTAATGTTGTCGCTCTCTGTATTCGCTAATGGAACCTTTCTTTTTCTTACGTATATTTTACCATCTTTACTCTGACTTACGTAATAGAAAGGATGTTGTATTCCTCTTGCGTCATTTAATATAATAGACTCTCGTTCTGATTTTGACAAGCTCATTTTACATCGGTTAAAGTTTTAATTTAGTTTTTTATCTACAGTCAAATGACTCAGACAAGCCCTACGGACAAGACCCAAGGGTCATAGATGTTGAAGCATTGAAGAAAGAAATTCGTGAGCAAATTTTATCCGAACTGAAGGAACAAAAACAAGAACAAAAGCCAGAGAGACCAAAGAGAAAACTTAGTGAAAAACAACTAGCTGCATTAGCTGCTGGAAGACAAAAGAACCCACGTTTGCTGGCGAAGAAAGCTAGAGAAGAAGCAAAAGCAAAGGAAGAACAAAAAGCAAAGAAGCTGAAGCAAAGAAAGAGTAAATGGTTTATTTTTATCCAATAAATGTATAGACAAATACCTTTATCTGTTGCGTTCAGTAGTGAAAACCCTGACGTCAAAATAAAGGGGAACAGAGTAACGTTTAAGTTTCCAACAGACTGGATTGTGAACATAAATGAAGAGAAGTACATTGGCATAACATCTATGTATATAACACGTGCTTTCAGAAAGGTTGACTTTATACTTCAAGTCGAGATAGAAAATGACGAACAGTCTTTAAGCGCCCAAAACATTCACATATACAAATACTTTAAAGACGATACAACATTGTTGCAATGTATGATTTCATTTAATGAAATGTTCGAGAAAAAGTTTAACATTGAAGTACAAACTTTACAGCCTTTGCGTGAGTTTCTTGCACAACTGAAGGAAGAAGGTAGTCAGCCACAACTTATAGACTTTCATTATGAATTTAATGAAAATGAAGATGGAACTCATGACTGTCAGTTTGTTATATATTCACCATTCAATGAAGTAGCTAAAAAGAAAGAAAATCCATTACGTATAAGATTTCAAATCTCTGAACCAAATGATGATTTCAAGAATGTTTTCAATTATGATGCAATGCTTCCGAGGAAAAATGAATTTTCAAAGATTGTAACACCTGGCATTTGGGATAGAAAGCAAGCTATATTATATTCAAACTTAAGTAAGGGAGTTGAAAATGAGTTCATTGGTCATACAAGAACTTCACCACTTCCTAACCCTAAATACTATAAATTAACTGGCTTCAATCGTGAGTTTTGGATAGACATGTTCTCCACTCATGACCATAACTGTCCAGTGTTCTTACCTCCAGACCATAAGGACTGTCTCTACATTGAAGCACAACTCTTAAACTCTACCATCGCAGTATTGTAAAATCTACGCTAGCTTTATTTTTATCACGAATGACCTCATTGCTGACAAAAATAAATGACCTCATTGCTGACAAAAATAAGCCGCTAGCGGCAAGGGCGAAGCCCATGACCTCATTCATGACCTCATTGCTGACAAAAATAAGCCGCTAGCGGCAAGGGCGAAGCCCATGACCTCAGAACTTAAGCTTACGAATAAAGCTCTTCATCCTCATTACTGAGTAAAATGACGTATGGCAGGTGTCAAACCGTTGAGTTTTCACAAATTTTAAAAATAACGTTAGTTTTATTTTTATTTATTTTTTATTTTGTATGTAAAGACAGATGTACGCTGAACTTGTTGGTCAAGATGTATGGAAAGAATGTTTACAAGATGAAGAGTATGAAATTCACTGTTCTGAGCCTTTTGAAATAAGGAAGAAAGAAACCAAGAGAATTATACATGAATATAACAGAGGAACAGGTTATATTTGTGTAACATTAAACCTCAAAAAGTACCAAAAACATGTTCTCATAGCTACTCATTTTATTTCCAATCCGAACAATTTACCGTGTGTGGACCATATAAACCATCAAAGAGACGACAATAGAATCTCAAACCTTCGTTGGTGTTCTAAATCTGAAAACAATAGAAATAAAAGCAAGTATGGCGATATAGTTTATGAGTTCGTTGATGAAATATCTGACGAAGCTGTTGAAATAACAGATTATGGTAAGCATTCGTTTGAGTTCTACTACTATGTTGAGAATGAGGACGCATTCTATTACTATACAGGTCCTAACTATCGAAAACTTCATATAAACTTTACAAAAAGGTGCTGCTTATGTTTCTATGATAGATACAGAAAACAAGAGTGTAATTTTATGCATAAACAAATTCAAACGCTTGTACGGCTTCATGTAGGACAAACATTATTTTTCAACACTAACGCCAACACGTAGGACAAACATTCATGACTAACATTACTGTATAACATAAATGTTTTGTTATGACCTCATCGTAAATGACTTTATCATGATTTCATCGTAAATGACTTTGTCAAACATGAGCATAAATGAATGTGTCGAAACTTCTTCATCGTACATGTTTTGTCATGATTTCTTCATCGTAATGAGCGTACATGTTTTGTCATGATTTCATCGTACATGCTTTGTCGAACTTAAACGTTAATGTTTTCACTGCTACCATGCTACCATGTGCTACCAGGTCATTTAACTTCTTTTAAAAATGGTGACAACTGACATTTTGACAACAACATAGGAAATAAATTTTATCGTTTATGTTTACGTTAATGTTTTACGTTAATGTTTACGTTTATGTTTACGTTAATGTTTTACGTTTATGTTTACGTTAATGTTTTCACTGCTACCATGCTACCATGTGCTACCAGGTCATTTAACTTCTTTTAAAAATGGTGACAACTGACATTTTGACAACAACATAGGAAATAAATTTTATCGTTTATGTTTACGTTAATGTTTTACGTTAATGTTTACGTTAATGTTTACGTTTATGTTTACGTTTATGTTTACGTTAATGTTTTACGTTTATGTTTACGTTAATGTTTTCACTGCTACCATGCTACCATGTGCTACCAGGTCATTTAACTTCTCTGAAAAAGTGTGACAACTCGACATTTTGACAACAGTTCAGGAGGAAGGTAGTTATTAATTATTTTTGAAGAACTGAAGGTGCTACCATGCTACCATGTGCTACCAGGTCATTTAACTTCTCTGAAAAAGTGTGACAACTCGACATTTTGACAACAACACAGGAAATAAACTTCTTCGTATATGTTTTGTCATGATTTCTTCATCGTACATGTTTTGTCATGATTTCATCGAAACTAAACGTATATGTTTTGTGAAGAATATAACAACCGCCTGAATTCAGACGGTTGCTTTTTATACAAAATTCACGCAGGAAAATTCTTGAGTTTTGGTTGAAAGAATACGGTCGAGCCAAAAGTGGCTCAACCTCAAAACAAACATTTTGTGAGCTTACTAAGGCATTTATGAATGAATTCAAAGGTATTTGCATACATCCTGACCTCGTTCATTTTGTTGTTGAATTCAGCAAAAATAATGTTTACGTTAATGTTTTCACTGCTACCATGCTACCATGTGCTACCAGGTCATTTAACTTCTCTGAAAAAGTGTGACAACTCGACATTTTGACAACAACATAGGAGGAAGGTAGTTATGAATTGTTTTTATTTTTTATTCCTATATAAATGACAGCAACAAACAACAACAGCAACTATATCGTTTCTGATGAAAAAGTTATTGATTCATTAGCTGAGGAATTAGTTGTGGCAGAAACTAAAACCCTCAACGAAAGAATTGGTGAAAACAAGATTGATTTACGTAACTACCTCAAACACGATGGAGGAAGAGGAAGGAAAACTGGTATGGCTTTATTAGTAAATAAAATTTCAAATTTAACGATTATAGATGTTGATATCAATAAATCATACAATGATGAACTTAAAGAAACAGTTAGAAAAGACATTTTATCAAAACTTTCGGATAAAGATGTTATCGTTAAAACCGCTTCAGGAGGTCTTCACATTTATTGCAACACTAATTTCTTCTATGCAGTTTCGAACAGAATGATTAAATGTTATTCCTGCAATGATTATGATATTGATATAATGACTTCTATGGATGATTCAAAGCGTTCTTTAGTGGTTATGGCTGATTCAAGAGTTCGCAAGAATGCAACAGAACCAATCAATACATACTCATTCATTCGTGGAAGTTATGATTCAACATTAACTAGAACAGTGAATGATATATTAAATGATTTGAATATTAAGGTAAGAGTTGAACAGAAGAATGAAGAAATAAAGACTATCATGAATGAAAACAAAGATGTAAACATTGACGATAAACTTGCCCAGAGCATAGTTGATGGCATGTGTGATTTTGAAGTACATAATGACGGTGGAAACATGAATTTAGAAAAAGAAATAACATTATTCACACTGTTTCAAGCTATTAATTCGTTACCGGATCATTTAATTAATGAAGCATACGATAACGTTTATAACTTCTGCAGTTTAACAGAAAATGCAAAAAGTAATTTTGAAAAAGCACGTAGTAGATATGCACATTTAATGACTTCTCCATTTGTTTTGGTAAAGATTCTAAAACTATATCAAAAGGAATATTATGATGAATATGTTTTACCTTTGTTACGTAAGCCAAAAATAACATTTGATATCAAACTTGATGATTCATTCTTGATAACAGATATTAGACGCAAGGCTGAAAATCATCAGTATAAAAACAGTTCTGAAGTAATTGAGGATTTATCACGTGTCATTCGTTTTGTAGATTGTGGAAATAAATATTTCATTCAAAAGGACTATAATATCCACGACAAAATGAATCAAATATCATTTGTTCTTCAGTCAAACATGAAAGAGTCACTCAAAATGATTAAATTATTTAAAGAAGAAGGTAAAACCATAACAGCATGGGATGTACTACTAAATCAATTGTCTTCATTAACCGTTAAGGGTGTTTGCTTTAAATCTGATTCCCCAGATGTTTTCTCAACGTTTCAAGGTTATAAATACAACGTTCTCGAAAAACCAGATTACTCAAAAATTGAGATGTTTATGAATTTCATTAAAGAAGCCATTTGTGTAATAACGATGAAGTGTATAAATACCTTCTCGGCTGGATTGCATCAATGATTCAACATCCTGGAATCAAGAATGAAACAGCAATTATTTTGAAAGGACTTCAGGGAACAGGTAAAAACAGATTCACAGACATTATTTCTGAACTCCTCGCTGGTTATTCATGTAAAAACATTACCGAAATAAGTGAGCTAACGGGTAATTTCAACTCAGTTGTTGAAAATAAAATGTTTCTTGTACTTAATGAACTCAAGAATGTTGGTGAAGATAGACTCGCAAACTTCAACGCTTTGAAATCAATTATAACGGATAATGAGATAAGAATTAATGAAAAGAATCAACCCAGAAGAACTGCTCAGAATGTTGCCAATTTCATTTTCGTAACTAACAACGTTTACCCTGTCAAAATTGAAGTTGGAGACAGAAGATACGTAGTTTTAAGAGTTAATGGTAAATTCAAGGGTCAATTTGATTACTTCAAGAATTTAATGGATTCATGCACAAAGGAATTTTATGATAATTTACTGACGTATTTTATGCAATATGACCTTTCATCATTTAATGTACGAATCATACCGATGACTGAAGCCAAACAAGATTTAATTGAATTATCATCAAATCCTTTAGATGTATGGATAAATACACATTATGATGAATTGTGTGCAGGTATGACGTGTGAAAATGCTCTATTCTGCAAACCATCAGACATGAAAGACAAAAACTTTCAAATGAGTATTAAGGATAAATGTGATAGGAAACATAGAAGAATAGACGGTAAACAAACATGGTATTATGTTTTGAAAGAAGAAATGAAAGGATTATATAAACAGGTTGAACCAAACGATAATGAGGAATCATTTACTGATGATGAAATACCTGTAAATGAGCCGCTAACGGACTCTTTGAGTCCTGAAGGTCTTTCAGACCGAAGCGGCGAGACCTGAAGGTCTAGCTTTATAAAGTATGATTGGAATTTATTTTTGCATTAATCCTTTCATGACTGTTGTCAAAATGTCGAGTTGTCACACTTTTTCAGAGAAGTTAAATGACCTGGTAGCACATGGTAGCATGGTAGCACCTTCGGTTATTCAAAAATAATTAATTATTGAATGACCCATGATGTTGTCAAAATGTCGAGTTGTCACACTTTTTCAGAGAAGTTAAATGACCTGGTAGCACATGGTAGCATGGTAGCACCTTCGGTTATTCAAAAATAATTAATTATTGAATGACCCATGATGTTGTCAAAATGTCGAGTTGTCACACTTTTTCAGAGAAGTTAAATGACCTGGTAGCACATGGTAGCATGGTAGCACCTTCGGTTCTTCAAAAATAATTCATAACTACCTTCCTCCTGAACTGTTGTCAAGAAGTTTGAAAATATAACAAGCATAACGAGGTGAAGCCCACATTGCTACAGCATTTACTAAAAGTCTATGAACATAATAACCTTTCAAACCAGGTGCCAAATTCTTGCGATTTTCGAATGGAATCTCTTCCCTCGGTTTTTCGAGGGAAGCAAACATATGAGGAAATTCTTCTAAAAGTTCTTTTGTCTGTTGGTTTTCAAACCAATGATATGCTTGCTTTGTAGAATGAAGAGCGTTCATTATACTTTGCATTTGATACATATCATCTTTGACTGAACGAATGAGACGTAACTGTTTGTTATACTGTATGTATTCGTATTCTTCATTTATGGCTTCATGAACGATAGAAGTTGTTGTGTTCTCTAATGTTGACATATCTGTCTTTACATACAGGATAAAAAAATAAATAAAATAAAAACTAACTTTATTTTTCTATCTTAAGGAAATTCATGAAATTTGGTCATTTTTCAGCAAAAATATAATTTAGGTGAAGAGACCCAAAGGGTCAGAGCCGCAAAGCGGCTAGGTGAGATGTCACCTGTTTTTTCACCTGTTTTCTCACCCCAGTTATTTTATAAACGTTTTACATGGTAAACGTTATTTTTTTAAATTTTGTGAAAACTCAACGGTTTGACACAAGCCCTAAAAATTATTTTACTCAGAATTTTGTTGCTGAATTCAATAAAAATATAATTTAGGTGAAGAGACCCAAAGGGTCAGAGCCGCAAAGCGGCTAGGTGAGATGTCACCTGTTTTTTCACCTGTTTTTTCACCTGTTATTTTATAAACGTTTTACATGAATTGTACGATGTATATTTGAAATCCTAAACAATTTCGTAGCTTCTATTTCTTCTGTCAGTATGTCAAAAGTTTTAACAATGCCGAAAGTCTCTTTATATTTCTTCTTGACGTCAGATAGAAGGAAATCTTCTACTGTTGGATAGTTTTTGTTCAGAAATGCTAACATGTCCATTTTATCTTCTGCTGGCTTTTCTGCTTCTTTCTTTAAGTCTGCATAGTCGTTTCTCATTCTTTCTATCTCTTTGACTGAGTAGTTATATTTCCTAATTGCTGCCTTACATTTTGAACATTGTGGGTTCATTTTTGCGTTATATTCTGAAACCTTACCTGCTAAAACAACTAAGGCGTCAATTGCTCTCTTCATCTCAAACATAGCGGGTCTTATTTGTTCGTTCCATACTTTGCCTCTTCTATCTTTATCTCTTATCTGCCATACACATTCAGCAACTAACGAAACAAAGTTGTCGTAGGTCTTAAATTCTTCAGATTTATATATGTCAGAAATGTTTTTATATACCATGTCGCAATCTTTGTCCATAACTTTATGGTTGCAATGAAAACCAAGGAATTCATAATTTACCTTACGAATGAACTTCTTTATTTCTACTGAGTCAGTTGGTTTCACTTCTATTTCATCGAATTCAGGAATAGTGAGTTTTTGTTGTTGGATTTCAGGTAGTTTAGGTAAATGGTCAATAATGTCCTGCATTTCATAAAGATACTGTTCATTTTGTTCATCTTTCGCACTACAGTCTAAATTATTTGTTAAAAGTTCTTGCTTTATCTTCTGGATTTTTGTTTCGAAAGTATATGAAGAAGGAATGAAGTTTTTCATCTCTACCAACATTGACGTAGGATTCATGACTAACGAGTTTGGTGCTGTTGTTGTGGACAGAGTCCCGCCGTTCGCGGCTTGAATTGTTGTAGAACCTATTGTTGAAATCATATCTTTTATACAAAATAAAAAAATAAATAAAAATAAAACTAGCGTTATTTTTGGTCTTTTGTGAAAATTCATGAAAATTCAAGAGGTGAGAAAAGAGGTGAGAAAACAGGTGACATCTCACCTAGCCGCTTTGCGGCTCTGACCCTTTGGGTCTCTTCACCTAAACATTATTTTTACTGAATTTAGCAACAAAATAAATGGTTCATTTACTCACAATATTTTTGTACAAAACGACCCCAAACTTTTAACTTCTTTTCTGCAGCTTCTAATGCTATCTTAGCGAGTTCATATTCTCTAAATTCTCTCTTTAAATCTTCTTGTTCCCATTGGTCTAGTTCGTATGGAGAATCTCTATAACCATAACATATCTCACGTTCATGTTCAAATTGTTTTTCGCACATTTTTCTAACTTCTTGTTCGAACAAAGGTTTAGCATTCTTTACTGTATCTTCAAGTTCTTCTTCATCTAATTTCTCATGAACTTTCTTGTCTATGGAGTCCATAATTTTTCCAACTGCTATGCAATATTTTGGAGAAGCCCACATTGCTATATAGTTTATAAGTTTGGGTCTACATACGTTCCTCTAACCTGTTTGATTTCATCAGGAATTCCTGCATGAATTTTGTATAAAAAGCAACCGTCGGAATTCAGACGGTTGCTATATTCTTCACAAAATGCCTTATAATACTCTTCCCAGGACTTATTTTCCAACAACTTTCTAAAGTCTTTCCTAAACTGCTGACACATATTTGTTGCATTAATGTAACCATCCTTGTCTCTACGTAAGACTTCAATACCGTTATAAGTGCCTTTTGTGAATGTTTCGCCATTATATTTGTTAGTGAATGTTTTTGCTTCGACTGACATTTCTGTTCTTACATACCAAATAAAAAAATAAATAAAAATAAAAACTAACTTTATTTTTTCTATCTTAAGGAAATTCACGAAAATTCAAGAGGTGAAAAAACAGGTGAGAAAACAGGTGAAATCTCACCTCTTCACCTAAACATTATTTTTGGTGTAAATTTATGAAAACATTAATAATTCCATGATTGTTCTCATTCATGTCTGATTTACATCTAATGAAAAAGTTTAGATGAATTTTCTTATTCTTTCTGGCATATTTTTGTCTTTCCAATACTCCCGCTCTAATGGTCCCAGATGAGTTGGCTTTGACTCTCTCAAGTTCTTAGATGGTATAACATCTTCAACGCCTCCTTCATATCTTACTTTATAAGTGTCATCGTTTATGTTGTAGTCAAGTATTTCAATAACCACTCCTCGCTTTGCTTCGTCAATGGTTTCAGCAAGTTTGCCATTACTACTTTCGACTAATTTATGACGAGGGTAAAATGCTATGGAGTCGTCAGCAGCTTTTATAAGATATCCATTACCTTGCGTAGAGTCTACGATATAATAATTTCGACTTAACCTTAAACGTTTCTTTGTCAACGGTTTGTCGTCAAGAACTACACGAACTTTTGTACCAGGAATGAGAGTAAATTGTTTTGAATTTCTGATATTTTGTGTTTGGCTTCGTTTCTTTTGTATATACTTTTCTTCTTGTTGTTGTGTCATTGAATTTGGTGTATGTCCTGTTGTAGAATTTGTTGAGGAATTATATACTTCGAGAAAATGTTTCATTGTTTCTTCGGTAAAGTCTCGCTCTTGATTTAAATCTCTGAGCGTTCTTATGAAGCGGTTAATGATACCGAGTATGTTATGGTTATGGTCTTCAGTAGTGTAGTGAGTTATGTTATGCTTAATGAGAAATTCTGTGATTTCGTTGCTGAGGTATGCACTGTCTTGGTCTGATGTTAAAGTACTTGGGTTATGTTCTGCTACAAACTTTTGTAAAACTCTTAACACTTCACGAGTTCCTTTATTTCTCATTATATACGCATATGCTTTACGAGTGTTAACATTAATGAAGATGAGGAATGGTTTATGTCCTCCTTTTCTGCTTTGAATGAGAGTGTCAAATTGGTATGCGTCAGGAGTGTTGGAGTAAATTGGTAAAAAGTAGTCGTAAGGGTTTATTTTTGTTTGATGTACAACATTTTTGTCAAAGAACCTTTTCACTTCAGCTCTGTTAGTAAATCCCCGACTCTTTGCAGCTTCATTGAATTTCTTAAATGACCTCCATGGATGTTGTTCGAATACTTCTTTCAAGCTCATTTATGTAAAGTTAAAGATTTTATTCTAGGCTCAAGTGCGTTCATTGAACGCGGTACCATGCAAATACAGTCACAAATGGTGGCATGTAATCTGCACCCGAGCCTGTTGGATTTGTTGTGAAAGTATGGGCATGATTTCCTGCGGTTCCACAGAAAATACCTGCGCTTGAATCTACTGGGTCACTTGAAATATCATATCTATGCATTCCCTGTCTATCCGAACCTGCTGCAAGATTTGTATAACCTCTTTTTGTTATTGAATGTGAATGACTACCTGTTGTTTTGTAGTTCCTGTATGAGTGTGCGGTGGAAGGTTTGCTTCAGTAATTTTCTTCGAACCTCCTGTTTGCTTTGAAGAGTTAGCACAGTATAAGAATTTGTCTACAATCTGCTGCCATGTACCAAAACCTAAAACTGTTGCTGGATTTGTTGAGTTCATTGACGTATAAATAGAGCCTATAGGATATAATGTTTGAAGAATCTGAGTCTTTAATGTTTGAAGCTCTGTTTTGTCTGCTTTCTTGTCATATAAATCTTGAGCAGTGAATTTAATATTATGTTCATCCTTCATGACATAAACATCTTTACATCTAATGTTTTTCATCGTCGTTATGTCGTCATCCGATGTTAAACCTTGTGGAAAGTTAGG